CTATTTTATACATTTTACATATATTAATTTACATATTCCCCATAATACCTATGTTACTACATTATATCTATTTAAAAGATGAAGAAACTGCGTATATTGTCTGATGGAGCCCAAACTGTTTATCATCAGAGAAGATACTATTAATCCTGATGGTGCACATAAATTCTTGGGACCTATTTATTGAATGAACAAACCAAACATTGGAAGTACAAAATAATAATAATAATGCCTAATATTTTGTGTAAGATTGTGTCATTCACTTTCCATGCACATTCTCATTTAGAAAAAAAAAATGTATGTAAAGGAGCTTAGTTTCTACCAAAGGAGCTAAGATGTGAACACCAATATCAAACAATATAGTCATTTGAAAGTATGATTTAAAACATAAAATCCTTCATGAAAATTTAAATAGAAGAGATACGTTCTCCATAGAGGGATGGAGATGGTCCGTGAGGCTGAGCCATGGGGGATTATGCACACAAAGATGGGGTTGGAGAAGCACAGCAGAGAGGGAAGGTTCTCAGCAGAGATTTCCCTATAAGAAAAAGCACAGAAGGAGGAAAACACAGAGCCCATGTGGAGAACATGGAATAGTTTTCTTTAGCTGCAATGCTGCTGCTCAATCCCACCTACTGACTTTTCTTCTGCTGTCTGTCATTACACTCCTATTGGTTAGGCCTACATTCAGCAATAAGTACACAGGGAACCCAAATATAGTGACTTAAATATAAGGGTTTATGTTCCTTACATGCCAAGAACTCTGGATATATGGATGACTGTGGGCATGGTGTAGACTAGCAGCTCCCCAAGGTTGGGCTGGTTGGCCTCTTTTTGAATCTCTTGACCTTTTCTTCATTGTTGTGAGTTAGCTATTCCAGCATTGGGCATCATGCCTGAATTTAAGATAGGAATTGAAGGCAGAAGGAAGTTGGGCCACACTGAGTGGGTCTCTTCCTTTAATCATGGAAGTGAAAGCATCCCAGAATCCTCCAGCAGACATTGCTCATGTCTTAGTGGCCAGAATTCTGTCACCTGGCCACTCGTAGCTGCAAAGGAGGCTGGGAAATAGGGTAATTAGTTTTGAAGATTCTGTAATATGAGAGGAAAAGAGAAGAGGTTGAATTAAAGTAAATTCAGCTGGCAAGCAGTGTCCATCAGACACTAATCTATGTGTGTGTGTGTGTGTGTGTGTGTGTGTGTGTGTGTGTGTGTGTGTATATATACACATATATATATACACACATATATAAAAATGCACAATGTACACATTACCATACATTTTTAAGAAAAACAAACACTAAATTGTGTATATGTGTTCACTAAATGTTTCCATAAAAAAGCTTAATCCAACAGAAAATAAATGTATTGCCCAGTTGACCAAAACATGACCCCCTCAAAAAAGTGTCATTATTAGCTTACAATCTATTCTAATTACATTTTACCTAGGATCAAGTTGCTCCTGATCACTTTTTTCTCAGATTCTGCAGTCAAATTATGTTCAGTAAAAAAGTAGTGAAATCGGGCACATGCAAAAAATGAAACTAGACCACAAACTTACACCATAAACAAGAATAAACTCAAAATGGACAAAAGACTTAAAGGTTAAGTCACAAAACCATAAAAATCAGAAGAAAACATAGGCAGTAAAACCTCAGATATGTCTTGTAGCAATATTTTTGCTGTTATATCTCCTAGGACAAGGGAAACAAAAGAAAAAATAAACAAATGGGACTACATCAAACTAAAAAGTTTCTGTACAGCAAAGAAAACCATCAACAAAATGAAAAAGGAACCCACTGTATGGGAGAACATATTTGTCAATGATACATCAGATAAGGGGTTCATTTCCAAAATATATTAAAAATTATACAACTCACCAGGAAGATAAACAATTCAATGCTCAACTTCACTAATCATTAGAGGTGCTAATTAAAGCCACAAAGAGATACCATTTCACACCTGCCAGGATGACTACCATCAATAAATCAACAAACAAGTGTTGGTGAGGATGTAGAAAAAAGGGACCCCTTGTACAACGCGAGTGGAAATGCAAACTGGTGCAACCACTAATGAAAACAGTATGGAGTTTCCTCAAAAAATTAAATATGAACTGCCTTTTGACCCAGTGGTCCCACTTCTGGAAATATATCCTAAGAATCCTGAGACATCAATCAAAAAGAATACATGCATCCCTATATAAATAACAGTGTTATTTACAATATCCAAGATTTGGAAATAGCCCAAGTGCCCATCAGTAGATGACTGGATAAAAAAACTGGGGAAAAACAAACAAACAAAAAAACTGGGGAAATACTATGTGGCTATAAAAAAAAACAAAGGAACTTACCTTTTGCAACAGCATGGATGGACCTGGAGATTATTATGCTAAGCGAAATAAACCAACAGACAAATACCATATGATCTCACTTACATGTGGAATCTAATGAACAAAATAAACAGACAAACAAAATAGAACCAGAGGCATGGATACATGAAACAGACTGACAGAGGTCAGGGGGAGGGAGTGGTGGTTTGGGGGCTG